TGTTTGGAGTTCATTGGATTAGATTAGTACAGTCCCTGATCCAATTATCTCCCAAGCACAGAGGAGGGATTATCTGATTTTGTATGGGGGTGTCCTGGACCTGAGAGCCAATGTGATTGTGTATTTGTTTCTACTGTGGTTTACTCTCAGGCCCAGGGGGGGGGTGCCCCTTGAATGGGGACCTGCATATAAGGCCAGTTGTGGCTGCCAATAAAGGTATTCCAGCTTGTACTCCCAGAATTATGTGTCGTCTGGTTACTGGGAGGGGAAAGGTTTAATCACTGTTCCAGCTTGTTCCACCATGGAGGATTAAATGGGGAAAGTTCTTGTAAGGACTAGAGGTCCCAGGACTGAGTGTTGTCCAGTGCCTGGGGGTGTGCCCATTTAGCTCCAGGAGGGAGCTGTTCCAGGACCCCAGTCAAGCCAAGGTGACTGTGGGCAGAAGTGCTGCGGTTTGTCCCCTGTTCCAGCCAGGAAGCGGTTCTTGGTGGAGGTACCCAGCTGGGGTACAGGGAGCTCCGTTACACCATCATTTCCTCTATACCATCTACTTCCCTATACCATCATCTCATCTGTACCATCATTTCATCTATACCATCATCTCACCCTTCACCATCACCTCTCTCCGCTATACCACTGTAACAGACCAACCGATCACCTAGGACTTGTACATGGCTCCTAGCCACCTTCTCCTAAAATGATCACCCCATTATTCCTGCTCCAGACCATGCCTTCAAGACTAGCACTCCTATTCAAGGGACTCATAGACCAGCAGGGAACTCAGTGCACCTGACAGGGAGCAACCTACAAACATCCTGGATCTCTAAATCAGATTGCAGAGTCAGTCGCGGTTGCCTTAAAATAAAACTTCAACAAGGCCGCTCTCTGTCACGAAATCACCAAACAGGTCTCTATCTGGAGTGGTGATAGAGGAGGTGGTAAGACATTGAATGACACCAAAAACTTTAGGGAGCTCTGTAGCGGAACGCCAATATTAAATCCACGAATTCCGCTGGTTCAGGACGTAATCCACAGTCAAGCGCTGGAAACAACAAGGCAATATCCCAACTCTCCCAGTAACCGGACAAAACACTGTTCTGAGAGTCAACTGAGGTCTTTTATTTCAGCTACACAATTTATACAAGTCCCCATGCAAGGGGTTTCCTGAGTCCCCTCCCAGGGGCATTTCCAGAGGGGACTACATGGGGGACTTATTGTACAGGGTATTTCTCCCATCAGGCACTGCTGCACGAGAGGGATCCTCCCACTGGAATATACCGTTAAGTGGATTATCCCTCCGTGCAGCAGAACTTACAATTCGTATAAAAATACATAACTCTATGAATATATGGTCTATTTAAACAAATGGACGTTCGGTAGATAGCTGGGGTCTGAGCGCATCATTCGTGAGATTACCGCTCAGATCCCAGCTAAAACAACCGAACGCCGCACGAAAAACACATTTATTAAAAGACATATTAAAATGACCGATTGCCTTCCAGGGAATGAAATACCGAACGGCCCAGAACTCCCGAATGGCCTGGAGGCTCAGCGGTGTTCGCGCCGTCGAGTAGCCGTTTTTAGTACCATGCGCTTGACGACCTAACACCGCTGAGGGAACAAAGGATCCAAGATGGCGGCCACCTAGGAGAGCCTTTAATTACCGATTGCAACATTGTTGCAATCGGTTAACAAGCGCCACACGCCTCTAAGTGTGTGGGCTACTATATGGAGTGTTTTCAGTTCACGAACGGCCTGCAAAAGTGCCGTTCGTGAAACGAAAGGAAAAAACCCAATACAAATAGCTATCTGCATTCGGCAGATAGCAAATACAAGGTATTACAGCCAGCATACATTATACTTAGTCACACACATATCCCACAACCATACAGGCAACCCTTAAAGGTACAGTCTCTTTATATTGTCCAAGTGGCTAGGTTTGCCACAATGTTCCCCCAGAACCAAGCCGGCATACACAGTCTGATCCCAACGGATCGGCTTGGGGATGTCCGGAGGAGGGCTCACAGATCACTTCTCAAGGTCTGTTTGTCTAGATAACCCGTCGGCGTTACCGTTTTGTTTTCCTGGGCGATAATGGATAGTAAAGTCAAAAGGCTGCAGCACTAAACTCCAGCGCAGCAGCCTGGCATTGTCTCCAGCCACACGGTTCAGCCACACCAACGGGTTGTGATCTGTGAGCAAAGAAAAGGGTTGCCCATAGAGATACGGTTGTAACTTTTGCAGGGCCCACACCACGGCCAGGCATTCATTTTCGATGGTGGCGTAGCTCACTTCTCGGGGTAACAATTTCCGGCTCAAATATGCTACGGGATGTTCTCCACCATCTGCTCCGACCTGGCTCAGTACTGCTCCCAATCCAAACATTGAGGCGTCTGTGTGGACAAGAAAACGTTTAGTTGGATCAGGAGCAGCAAGTACAGGAGCATTGGTCAGAGCCGTCTTCAGTTGGTTAAATGCCTGTTCACACTCTGGGGCCCAGATGACCTGTCTGGGCAGGTTTTTCTTCGTCAAGTCAGTCAGGGGCTTGGCCAGGGCACTGTAATTGGGCACAAACTTCCTATAATACCCGGCGGTACCTAAGAAGGCAAGGACTTGGGTTTTAGTCCTAGGGGTGGGCCACTTGGCTACGGCTTCAATCTTTGCGGGCTCAGGCTTCTGTTGCCCGCTCCCCACTCGGTGTCCTAAGTATTGCACCTCCGCCATCCCTATGTGGCACTTGCTTGGTTTTAAGGTAAGCCCTGCCTCTCCAATCCGATCTATCACGGCCCCTATGTGTTGTAGATGATCAGCCCAGGTCTGGCTGTAGATGGCAATATCGTCCAGGTATGATCCAGTAGCCGATCCACCATCCGATGGAATGTCGCGGGGGCGTTCTTCATCCCGAATGGCATGACTCGAAATTGGTACAAGCCAAACGGGGTGACAAACGCCGACTTGGGGATGGCATCCTCGGCTAGTGGAATTTGCCAGTATCCCTTACAGAGATCTATTGTAGTGAGATACTGACCTCTGGCCATCTTATCTAGCAGTTCGTCTATCCGGGGCATCAGGTAAGCGTCCGACACGGTTTTGTTGTTCAGCCTCCGGTAGTCCACACAAAATCGGGTGGTACTGTCTTTCTTGGGAACCAGGACTACCGGCGATGCCCCCTGGGAGGGCTTTCGGAGTGTTCGATAACCCCCAACTGCAACATCTCCTCAATCTCTTTCCTCATATGCTCCCGTACTGATTCGGGAATCCGATATGGGGTCTGTCGCATGGGGAGCTGTCCCGGGGTTTCTACTCGGTGAGTGGCCAGTGGAGTGTACCCAGGTAAGTTAGAAAAGGTGGCGCCCTTCGCCGCTATCAGTTCTTGTACCTGGGTGCGCTCTTGAGGACTTAGGCGCTCCCCCAGCTGAACCCCCTGGGAGGGCTCCTTCTGCTCCTACTGCTCTAACAGATCTGGGAGAGGTAGGTTCTCCTGATCTTCCGAGGCGGGCGTGCAAATGGCTGCCACGTCCTCAGTTCTCTCGTGGTAGGGTTTGAGCATGTTCACATGGAGCATGCGTCACTTCCCTACCCCGGAGCATGGGCCGATCATGTAGGTGGTATCGCATCTCTGCTCTACCACCTGGTATGGGCCCTGCCAGACGGCCTGTAGTTTGTCTGTGTGGACAGGTTTGAGGATTAACACCTTCTGCCCTACTTGAAAACTACGGTCTCTGGCCCCCCTGTCATACCAACGGCACTGACGTTGTTGGGTGGCCCGGAGGTTAGTGCGCACTGCCTGGGTCAATTCCTCCAGGCGATCCCGGAACGCCAGCACATATGGTACAATAGGGGTCCCATCTGCGCTACTCTCCCCCTCCCAATGCTCTCTAATGAGGTCCAACGGTCCCCGCACCCTTCTCCCAAACAACAGTTCGGACGGGGAGAAGCCGGTAGATTCTTGGGGTACCTCCCTGTATGCAAACAACAGATGGGGAAGGAACCGCTCCCAGTCCTCATGGGTCTCTCCGAATGTACGGAGCATATGTTTTAGGGTACCGTTGAACCTCTCACATAATCCGTTGGATTGGGGATGGTAGGCAGAGTTAACGATCGGCTTAATGCCACATATTTTCCATAGCTGCTGGGTGACCTCGGCTGTAAATTGGGTCTCCATATCGGAAACAATTTCCTGCGGGAACCCTACTCGGGAAAAGATTTTCATCAGGGCTTCTGCCACTATCTCCGCATGAATATTTGTTAGGGCAATCGCCTCGGGGTACCGGGTGGCGTAGTCCACCACGGTCAGTATATACCGCTTCCCAGATGGGCTGGGTTTTGGTAGCGGTCCCACTATATCCACGGCCACACGGCTAAACGGTTCCTCAATTATAGGTAGGGGACACAGTTTCGCTTTGTGGCGATCCCCTCTCTTACCTACCCGCTGACACACATCACAGGAGGTACAATAGTGTCTTACAGCTTTAGAAATCCCGGGCCAGAAGAAAGCGTGGGTTAAGCGATACCGGGTACGGGTCATCCCTAAATGGCCAGACAGAGCGATGTCATGAGCTATTCTCAGTAACTCGGGTATATATTTCTGGGGTACTACCAGCTGTTTGGTTTGGACGGTCTCAGAGCTCCCTATCGCCCTTTCGGCTACCCGGTACAACAATCTGTTTTCCCAGATGTACCGCTCCACCTCCCGCCCCACCTGGTCCGTGTCTACCCTATCCCTGTACACCTGCAGTGTGGGGTCTGTCTGGACCTCTGCTTCAAAGGTGGTCGGGGTGTCCCAGGTCATATGAGTCGAGGGGGGGTCATGGTTTCTTACCTGAGCCTCAGAGTGTGCTGGTGGAACCGTGGTGCGAGCCTGTTGCCGGGTAGTTACAGGATGAGCTTCTTGCGAAGGGGCCTGAGGTACGAAGGCTGAAGTCATCTGGCCCAAGTCATTCCCCAATATGACATCTGCCGGTAACTTTTTCATCACAGCTACTTCCACAACCCCCTCCCCAGCACCCCAGTTCAAATGCACCTTGGCAGTGGGTAGACGGTACATGGCTCCCCCTGCCACCCTGACTGCCATCGATCCGCCAGTGTGGGCTGTATCTGGAACCAAATGTGGAGCAACCAGGGTTAAAGTGGCTCCCGAGTCCCTCAGCCCCTGTACTTCTTTCCCCCCCACAAACACAACTTGACGGTGATGCTGCCTGTTGTCCGTGGCTTGCACAGACATCACCTCATACAAAACCCCCAGAGGTTCCTCGGTCTGCAGGCTCATCAGCTCGGGGGTGTCCGGTTCTGCGTGGTGATAATGTGCTGCTGCCCTTGGGGTGGAATGCTGCTGCACTTGGTTCCACGCCTGTCTACTCCGATTCTGGGTGCACTCCCGGGACATATGCCCCCACTGACGGCAGGTATGGCATTGGATGTTTGCTCTGCCATTGTAGCGGGATGGTGGTGGGGGGTTCCCTTGTGCTGGCCGGAATGGAGCGGAGTTGGTTGGTGTGGAGATGGTCGGGTGGTGCTGTACCGGTGGTCTCAGGGGACCCTTGTTGGTGAGCCCATGATGCCTCCTGGCATCAAAGTGTTGATCCGCCAACCGAGCAGCTTCCGTTAGGGTGAGGGGTTTTCTGTCCCTTACCCATTCTTGTGCCTCTGGTAAAAGTCCGTTAAAGAACTGCTCCAGCAAAATTAGTTGGCACAGTTCCTCCATGGTGGTGGCTTGGCTGGCCTGAATCCACCCTTGCGAAGCTTAGTCAAGCTTATGTGCCCACTCAGCGTGGGAATCTTTTTCAGGCTTCCGCAATCCCCGAAATTTACGCCGATATGCCTCCGGTGTGATGGCATACCTCTCTAGGATTGCCTGTTTTACTTTAAAGTAGTCCTTGCTGTCCTCTCTGGGGACAGCGTGATAGGCCTCTGCTGCCCGCCCTGCCAACTTGCCTGCTAGCAGGGGTACCCACATTGCCTGCTCCAGGTCGTGTAGGTGACATAGCCGCTCGAAATCCGGCAGGTACCCGTCAATCTCATCCTTCTCCTCACAGAATGCTTTAAATGCCTTGTACGGTATTTTCTGTTTCACTGGAGCGCAGAATGAATTGGCAATGGATTCTGCCCTGGATGGTGCCCCCTGGTGCTGTTGCGCCATAATGTAGTCCTGTACGTCTGCCATCAGGACGGTCAAGATGTCCAGGGGTACTGGCTGGGGTACAAATTCCAGCCGGGTTCTCAGTTCCCTCTGATATGGGGTTTCCTCCCTGGCTGGTGGGGGGGGGTTGCTGTGTGCTCGGTCGCCTTACATTAGTTCTGCAAATAGTACTGCCTTGGATTTATTGCTACCGCTTTTCCCTCTAGCCTCCAGCAGTTCCTTTAGCGTCTGCCTTTTTAAAGTCCCCATTCACTGATCTCTTTCGTCTGTTTGCTGCATTCGAATTGCCATTCCCTTTTTCCGTTCGGTTGTTCCTTTCATTCGAATGCGCTGTATTCGGCTGTAGAGTCGGATCCCATTGCTTGCCACCAATTGTAGCGGAACGCCAATATTAAATCCACGAATTCCGCTGGTTCAGGACGTAATCCACAGTCAAGCGCTGGAAACAACAAGGCAATATCCCAACTCTCCCAGTAACCGGACATAACACAGTTCTGAGAGTCAACTGAGGTCTTTTATTTCAGCTACACAATTAATACAAGTTCCCATGCAAGGGGTTTCCTGAGTTCCCTCCCAGGGGCATTTCCAGAGGGGACTACATGGGGGACTTATTGTACAGGGTATTTCTCCCATCAGGCACTGCTGCACGAGAGGGATCCTCCCACTGGAATATACCGTTAAGTGGATTATCCCTCCGTGCAGCAGAACTTACAATTCGTATAAAAATACATAACTCTATGAATATATGGTCTATTTAAACGAATGGACGTTCGGTAGATAGCTGGGGTCTGAGCGCATCATTCGTGAGATTACCGCTCAGATCCCAGCTAAAACAACCGAACACCACACGAAAAACACATTTATTAAAAGACATATTAAAATGACCGATTGCCTTCCAGGGGATGAAATACCGAACGGCCCGGAACTCCCGAAGTTCGCACCGTCGAGTAGCCGTTTTTAGTACCATGCGCTCGACGACCTAACACCGCTGAGGGAACAAAGGATCCAAGATGGCCGACCGCCGCATGGTCGGTAGTCGAACGGCGGCCACCTAGGAGAGCCTCTAATTACCGATTGCAACATTAACAAGCGCCACACGCCTCTAAGTGTGTGGGCTACTATATGGAGTGTTTTCTGTTCACGAACGGCCCGCAAAAGTGCCGTTCGTGAAACGAAAGGAAAAAACCCAATACAAATAGCTATCTGCATTCGGCAGATAGCCAATACACGAAATACAAGGTATTACAGCCAGCATACATTATACTTAGTCACACACATATCCCACAACCATACAGGCTGTAACCTTAAAGGTACAGTCTCTTTATATTGTCCAAGTGGCTAGGTTTGCCACAAGCTCCATGTACTGACTCCGTAGGCAGCAATCGATGGTGACCAGGACTTCCCACCCAGAGCTCTAGAACTCTAAGTAGCATTGGAGTGTGATCTGGACTACTTGGGCTAGGTATCTCCAATCCGAGCTCCTAGGTGTCTGGCCGTTAAAAAAGTTACCTCGTCAGGTACAGACACCCAGCTGCCAGGTATCGTGAAATTCTATTCTTCCCCTGTTGACCCCCTGGTGGGGACCCAGGTATAAAAAGGCAAAAGTCACTCCAATAAAGGGTGCTTGTTTTACCCTTAAATAAAACTTCGACTGATAATCACTATTGGGCTAATCACTAAGGGGACTGGGAGTCCTTGGCGGCGACACTCCGGTCACCTAGGAGAAGTCTGCCTCAACCCCCTATTCTCCTATGGCATCCCCCAACTCCCTATTCCCATCATCTCCAATCCCTCCTGAGTTGGCCGGTCTAGAGAGATGTATTGAACTGAAAATGAAATAGTCACCAACGTGCCAAAATCACAGCAGAGCAAAATCAATAATTTAATAAGTGAGGCTGAACATTAATTTACTATATTTTAACTGAACACCTTAAACAAACATTATGCTTTTGGTTGGAAATTCTGTGACGTGAGAAGAAAGCACTCCCTAGTGGCCAGAAGCGAATGTAGCATGTGTTGCAGTATTATTATCATTATTTATATAGCGCCAACATGTTCCGTAGCGCTGTGCAATG